TTCATAAATTGATTTGGAACCTATAATGTGTAATATATAATAACTTTCTTTTAAACAAATATTTATAAAATTCACAATAATAGTTCTGATTACGATACACTTCTTATATTCTAGAGCTGTGATTCGTAGCGCGTCAATCCGGAGCAATTTTCTTGCAGATCGCAAATAACGACTAAAAATAATTAGAAAATAAGATTAAAACTACTGCTGCAATTAAGGATCGAAATTAATTTCAAATAACGAGAAAATAGGTGAGTAAGAAAATTTGTGTAAGAAATAGACATACATGCTCTTGTCCCCCCCCCCTTTTAATTTCACAAAAGAGCTAACTTTCTCCTGGAGTGACCTAGGTTTCAATCCCCGTGATGGCAAATTAATTCTCCCCCCAGACCACCACGTAATGCAAAAAATGTGTAAAATAGCTTCTGCAGTTACTAAGTTATAATATTAAATTATTCTAATGCTTAATTTCGTAGTTCTCCAGTCTTCTGAGTTGGGCTCAAAATTAAAAGTTGAATTTTTGTAACGGATATAGAGCAACCATTTAACACCCTGTAATTATGATTCATCATTATAATAATTATATTGACATATTACAAGTCGGTTAAGAATCATATGTCAGATGGCGAGTTTGTGTCAATATTTCGACAAACCCAGTCAGTTATCTTGTTTTTTTCCGTGCTGAGATAAAAATTGAAAATTCACGTAGTTTAACATTTGTTTCCACCAATCTGATATACTGAAAGTTGAGCGTGACTCCCCCCAAGACTCGAAGAGTTTTTTTCAGTTTTTCACAAGGTATTCTAAAAAGTGAACTTTGGAGATAATTAATTTTAATAAAATAAGTCATTGCCAAATATTAACTATTTTTTTAACGTTATTCTAAAATTCTATGAAAAATTGCATATTTTATTAGGAGATAATTAGGAAAATAAAATATATTTCACGAAAAGCTAATGAATTAATTTTTTATCCTCTACGAATTATTTTAATAGGAAAATAACTTTTAACTGATATATTGGCGCTAATATTTCATGTTTATTATAAGACGCAATTAAGGATAAAAATAAATTGTAATTTTTCTTATTTAAATCTCAGTTTACTTAAATTATCAAACAAATTTCAAATTACTTATTCATGAACAAAAAATGCATTTAACTTAAGATGAAAGAGAAAAAGAAACTTAAGTATCTTAACAACGGTAAAAAGGATAATTTGCCTTCTGAGAAACACGGATTTCAAGAAAATTTTTTAACATAGCTATTAAGCTAAAATAAATATTTAACTACTAATATTCGCGATTTTGCATTATTTATGTATTAATTGATGTTTTTTAATTCAGTAAATTTAAAAAATCAACTGAATGAACTAATATAAATAATTCTTTTATTGCGATACTTAGAAATAACAAAATATTTTTGCAAAAATTTGATAGTTTCCATGATATTCAGAAAGAGAGTACTAGTGTACAAATTAAATAGGACTGCATTTTCCGAACTCAATATTTTGTATAACTAGGTTACAAATGTTAAGCATCTAGTTCAGATTTACGAGGTGTTGTTATTAAATCAAGTATTTTGTATTTATTATAGATGTAAAATATCTTATTCTAATGAATCAAATATTTTAAGTGAATTAGGTATTTTTTATCTTTTGCAAATGTAAAAAAGCTAACTTGGATACTTGATCAATTAGGAGTAATTAGATATTTTATGTCTGTTACTGATGTAAACTTTCTTATTCGGATAACTTAGGTGTTTCAATTGAAATAAGTATTCTGTATCTATCGCAGATTTTCTTTTTAATCTTTTACAAATGTAAAATATTTAACTTGGATTTTTGATTAAATAAGATGGATTCGATATATGAATATCTGTTGCAGATGCTAACTATCTGTTTCGCGAATATATTAGATATTTAAATTGAATTAAGTATTTTGTACCTGTTAGAGATGAAAAATATCTAACTGATGGGATATATGTGAGTTGGTTAATTAGATATATTTGATGTCTGTAACAAATGTGAACAATCTTTTTCTGATGTATTAGAAGTTTTAATTGAATTAGATATTTATCTGTTGCCGATGTAAAATATCTAACTTGGATACATGTTGGTTGATTAATTAGGTATTTTGTATCTGTTACAGATGCAAAATATTTTATTCGAAAGTATTAAATGTTATAACTGAATAAGATATTATGTTACAGATGTAAAATATCTGATTCTGATATATTAGTCTAATTCGGATGTATTAGGAGAAATGTTTGGTGCCATATTTTTTTAGTATCTCTTCCAAATTAGTAAAAAGAAGAAAAAAAGACATTTTAATTTAGCAATCTTCAGTTTATGCAGGTTAATAAATTAAATTTTTCCAACTCTATAGATAATATTGTTGACAAAATTACTAGAGTATTTAATAAACGTCTTGTCAATGTTAACTTTCTTATATATGCTGATCCAAGTGCACAGTTTTAAATTCACCTTAAGAGGATTTGTATGTTTCTATGCACTCTAATAAAGAACATTGATATCGATTTTCGAAGAATAACTACTGACTAAAGCAAGAAACAACACGAATAAAGGTACAGAAATGGACATATTATAGTTTCGGTTCTATAAATAGGAAACTTCCTAAGGGTCTAAAGACCAAATGGGGTTTAAACACAGGATATTTAGTATTTACACTAAGGAAGGTTCTTATTTATAGAACCAAGACTGTAGTAATGTCTAATTCTATATCTTTATTTGTGCTTTATTCACGCTGTGTTTTTGCTTGCACAAAGTATATCTTTTTGAATGTGGCTCACTTACTCAATTTTGTTACATTCCTCTGAAATTTTTTAACATAAAACATTTAACACCTCTCATCTCTTTTCGACCTAGATTTACGGGAAAACTACGCAATCAACAGCTCTTGCAAATCTGCAGAATATTATTATATTATCAGCAGGTTGCGAAATGTCTTGTAAGAAATGTGGTTAGAAATGTGGTAACCATTAACCGGTAGACCAAATGATCAACTGTAGCAAATATTTGTCTACAGAACACACAGTAAAGTTTCAATGAGAATTGCTGAAACCGACTCATACAAGATTCCGCTTCAGTTGAACAACTTTAACTATTATTTGTATACAGCAGCAGTATCCAATAAGTATTCCGCTTAAACCTGGAAGGGTCACAAGGGTTACAATTGTTAAAATGTTTTTTTTTCTTCATAAAAACAGCAATAATTATTGAAACCTGTGATTTTATTCATATTGAATCAATAATCTCTTACGTGTTTCATATATCAGTCATTTTCATTATGTTATTTAAGCTAAATGTCAATTACAAAAAGTTGTGTCATCGGATCACTGAATTACAATTTGCAATTTTTATCTTTTCCCTTTTTAAGGTCACCGCTTCGAACCTGTTCACACAGTTGCATTTGTTTGTCGGTTTCTCTGATCGACATGTGTGATTTCGTCATTGTTTTGGTTTTAGTTGTAAGTCGCTTCTTCGCTTAATTTTCCAAAAATAAAATTCTACTAATAAAATTTAGTTGGGCAAAAGTAAGTTTGTTAAGAATGTTAATATTGTTGACGAAACAAACCCCAAGGCATTCACTTGAAGACCACATTCGCACTTAGCGCCAATGAAGGAGGAAAAAAATTTTGAAAGATTTATCACATGATGGTCTAAGTTTAGGAAACTTTGAGATGAGCTTCAACCGACGCCAAAGATGCTGATTCACATACAATCTCCCCAAAGTTAGTCAGTTTTATATTTCTTAAAATCCTGCCATCAGTTTCCTGATGAATTTGATGATCTGTTGAACCTCATTAGAGAATTTGAACCATTCTGAGAAGGGTACGTGTGCTGGTTTTTCTTTCGAATGTCTGATGAAACCTGCGACTGTTTTTATCCTCTGATGGATACACTATTGACCATCCCTTGATCCAGTCCACTTCATTCAAAATATTTTGATGACCACCTTTAAAAAATGAACTCTTATATCTATTTTTTTAACTTGCCATTGATGTCAGCTTTTTTTTTTTTAAATAAAAGAAAAACTGGTAATGATGATGAACATTTCAGTACTTTCAGCATTCCAACTCATCATCTGATCGGTATCGTTTTTATTCTTATAGAACGATTTTTAGGACGCTGCTGTAATAATATTTCTGGTTAAGGGCTCTTGCGGTAACATTCACTTATTCGGTAACATTATTTTGACAAAAATGTCACTTAAAAAAAAATAATTTCACTAAGTAAACCTTTTCTGTTAAATTGTAAATTATCTGCAATTCAAAATTTAGTTAATAATTTTTTATAATAATTTAATAAACCTTAATATTCATATCATTAGCGCAGAAAAGTATTGTCTTTTTGAAGAAAAAAAATATTTAAAAAATGTATTGAATAAATTAAGAAAAAAAAATTAGCATTTATAAAAAATTTTCATTGATATTTCCCATCAAAGTTTTCAATTCAAAAAGAATCAATAAAAATTCAGCAATTTAATATATGTTCCAACAATACATTAAAATCTAATGATGGCATTGTAGTTTTCTATTGATATCGATACATTTATTGTGGTCTGAAAATTACGGATTTTTACTGGTCTGAAAATCACATGGTATGATCCGGTTTTCCCACAGTAAGTTTCATATTTCTTTGGTTGTCATCAACACAAATTTAATAAAAGTCATAAGAATATTGTTTTCTTGTAAAATATTTTTTGTACCTCAAATTTAAGGAATTCATTACTGTAATATTTAATTTTCTTATTTTACTCTACTATTTTACGTTTTTGATTTTGATTGTTTTCTAAATTAGGAATTTCAAAGACTAAGAGTTGTTTCGTTACAGTAGTGTGATTCCTTGTAATGACTTAATTACGCTACATTATAAGATAAACTTATTTGAATCGGTTTCTTAACTTATTAACCCTAACTGCAAGAGCCACCTCAACCACCGAACTGGGATCTGATCATGTTTTCACCTGCTTCAATGGTTACATTGCAGTTGATTGTCCCGAAGAGGACCTCTATGCTTGCTGAGTCTGTGTGGACCACCCATGGCACCATCTAATGGATTGTCCATGGATACGACAACCAACTTATTAACCATTTTAAAATTATTATTTTTTGGTGTTAATTATTTTAATATGCTATTATAAAATACATTTAAATAAATTCGTTAAATGGTTCAGAACTGAATGATCAGCTACATGCCCAATGTGATGCATGCTCATATTGCATTTAATATATCGGCCTGTTTGGTAAGCGGAAATATTAAATCAGGGTTATGAACCCTCAAAACTTATTTTAACAATAATATGTTTAGATTTTATATGTTATTTAAAGAATGATTACTAAGCAAAACTATTAACATGCACTAATAGATCTTTATAGAATTATAAGGAAAATAAAGTTACAGGAGATCTTTCATACCAATCAAATTTGACTCAAAATAAGCATTTAATTTAAAGATATGAATATAGGAAGGGGGGTATAAGCTAACATAATTCGTTTTGGAACATATATGTCAAGTGAATAATTTCATAGTTTACAGAAAAACTGTTTCATACGAGGATTTGTACAGCATAAATGAAAGCTTGCAAACTCTCAAGGATAGCGTGGGCAGGCGAGTGTCCCAATGCTATAACCTACCTTACCAAGGTTTGACCAGCATGAAATACGACACTCGTCTCTAGGGTTAACTGGCTACGAAATAACAATTGCGAGGTTAGAGAGCGGCAGCGAACAGGGAGCTTATCTACCCAGTCTTAGATAACCGTTCTCAATATTTCAAAAGTCATAATTCGTTCTTATTTTAATAAAACCCTAATTGAGTTCATTTATGAGTTCGTAATCGAGTTCTTAACTTGTGCATACACCAAAAATAAATTTAGCAAGACTACATGCCACTCCAGTTCAACCTGCCTTACATAAAATCTAATTTTAAGACTCTTATTGATAAAATGATCAGAAAAATGAACATTATTTTTAAAATGATTCTTAGTATTAATTTGGTTGGGTTTGAAATTTCTAATGAACTTTATGAAGTCTATGTTCCGCCGAGAAAATGTCGAACATTTAAAGTTCTGATGGCTGAAAAAAATGGGAACTACTAGTCTACAATTTATAATTATATTACTTGCAAGATGTAGAATGTCTCTATGAGAATTGGTGCGATCTGCTTATTCAGATTCTACTAATCCCAATCTAAACTATCAAATCAGCAAAATTTTCAGATCAACAATATCACATCAATAATATCAAATCAACAATTATTTATCTGCCGAATGTTATCATATTATCTACAATATGCAGACATGTAAGTGAGAAATGTTGAGACAGACTTATTCGGACTCGGTCAATCAATAGACCCAATCAACGTTTCCCAACTGTTTAAAACCATCAGGATAAAGCGAAAATAAATAAACAGGAACATTTACAATATGTTTACACGATTTCCGGAAAGAAAATTCAAATTCAAATCATTCTGCTTTTATTTAAATAAGTTTCAAATCACAAACACTATTTTAAGCATTCTGTACGTTCTTTATAAAGAAATGGTTTTCTTAAAAAATATTTATGCATATATTCTAGGAAACTAAAAAATAAATAAAATACTCTGCAATTGACTTCTTCATCTATTTCTTTTTAGCAAGCAATGCGCATTTTTCTCTTTAAAAAATTCAATTTGTTTTTTTGTTGTTTTTTTTTTAATTTACCTTCCACTTTAAATAGATGAAAGTATTTCTTTTCCAGAAAATGAAAATATGTTTCAGAAATGACTAAAACTTTATATATATTCCAAGTTTTCCAAGCATTATTTGCATTATTGCAACTAGTTAGTAGTACCACGTTAGAGGAATAGTTTAAAATTATAATTTTGCACATATTTTTTCACGAATATAAATAAAATCATTTTAAGGTATTTGCATTTATTGCTAAGATGTTTCAGACAGAGTAATTCATATTTTCATCAATAATTTTTGACAATTATGTAAAATAATTTTATGCTTCTCTTGCTCGACAAAAACCTCGGAATCGACCCAATACACCTCTTATCCACGCGATAAAAGCGACACTATTTGCACTCATTTAAGGATTTAGTTTTTAATTATAAAAATGCTTCAATTCACACTATGATGCCGTAGACCGACACTAACACTAATCAAAAGCTAGAAAATACACAATATAAAAAACAATGCCTAGATGCTCTCAATTAGCTTGTAAAAAAAAAGATTGTCTAGGCATAATAATTGGTTACTATAGGAACGTAAAATTTCAATTTCGTAGACAATGCAAGATGTTTATAAAAAGAGAGAACTAGACAATTATGAATCATCGTCATGTATAATCATAGTAGAATACCATGTTTTTTATATTTAACGTAGCTGTCGTTGTTTCTGCTCTCATTTGCCAATACCACCCAGTCTGCTATGGGAAACTAAGCGAATTTAAGGCAGAGGGGTGAGTTTTTTATTCTTCAATGGCGCCATTTTGTATTTAATTATTTGCACATGCAAAAAAAAAATTTGTTTAAACATTCTTTCACGGATTATTACTTATCATAATAGAATTCTTCGTGAATCATAAGGTTGTGGGACTTATCCCCATGGATTAGATGAGCTCTAAAACAGGTCCTTGAAACTGTGCAAATGTTCATTTAATGTAGAGGCTGATGTTTTCAGGAAAAGATTCTCTATAGTAATACTGAATGAATCATATGAATTTTAAAACTTTTACACGAAATAATTGCAAATTCATAATTGTATTAAGAATTATCGTTTTGCTTTACTGACATTGATCGAAATTGTCGTATTAGGTATTATTTAAAATAGAACCGAGTTGAGGAAATAATGTGTGGGGTTAGTTCTCACTCATAGCAGTAAAACTGCTGTCCACGAAATGGCCTGAAACTTTGAGCGAATCATGACAAAACAAAAGTCAAACGACTATTATGATCATTATCGTCTTTGTTCCATAATGGGTGAGCTTTTGGAGCGTGATTCCTTCAAATTTTTAAGGAGTAGACAATTGTTTGACAACTGACATTTCATAATTTAGACACGACGTCTTTATTACCTATTTAATAATTATTATTTTTATCAATGTTCCAGATAATTCCATAAAGACAATGGAGAATTACTACAAGAAAAGTTTCTTTTTAAACGAATAATAGCATACAATTTATGATTTCCAGTAGCTTAGGGAACATTTTTACTGCATGTTGTTTGATCGTTCTGATTAAAATGCACCAATCAGATTCTCAATCTCGAAATGTATATTTCATATGAATTTTCATTTTATATAATAAGTTGCTATAAAAATGACTGTCAATGCAGCGTAGAAAAATACTTAGCATTAAAATGAAAAGTTTTTTTTTTTTAAGGCATTTTAACTTAACATAAAATCTTTCATTTATGAGAAATATGGAATACCTCCACTCTTATTTCAAGATTAATACCGATTAAACTTCTTTGTCTGTGTTTTATTTTATTTACAGAATATCTTAGAGTGAGCTCTAAAGACTCATCCATTGTTATGAATTGCTCAAAAGAGTTTTAAACTTTATGGAAGAAAGGCAGAGAAACTCTGTTACTGTCGATATCCAGGACTTTTTTTAAAAAAAATTTAAAAATACTGTAATCATTCCTATAGAAATAGAGATAATAAAATTGAATCGCAATTTCAGAAATAGAACTTTAGAAATAGGACTAAATTTAATTGCTACTAAAGAAATATGAAGCCAAAATTTAATCATCGCTATCGAAATAACGATAACATTTAATCATTAGTGTAGAAGTAGGATTAACTTTTAATCGTTAATATAGAAATAGGGATTTAATTTTAAACGAAGCTGTAATTTTTAACTATTAAAAAATGGTTTTGAAAAATATCAGCAATTTAGAGAAAAGAATTAAAATCAGTGAAAAAAATTTTTCCATTTTTGTATATTTTTCTTAGCATTGGAATAAGTTTTCATATTATAAAAATAGACAAAAACGCTTGAACGAATTTAATTATCGCATAGCTGCTTTTCTTTTCTTTTTTCTTGGATTTGGAAATTTTGCGCTACTTCCTAATAAGCCTAGAGAGCGCTGGGTAAAAAGAGGCAAAGCTTAAAATAACAATCATGAATCGCTGTTACCAGATCCAACACTTATAAAAATAGTGTATAATTTGGTAAAAAAGCGCTATTTTAATATGATGACAAAGTTTGAATTCTGTTAATATGATAAAAAGTCCTAATTTTAGTTTTCATGATGTTTGGTAAAAATGAGTCATTCTTCAACCTTTTTCAAAACTGTAGATTTTAATCAGAATTAAAAAAGTTGTTTTCTAACTCTGACTGTGTTTGAAATGAAATTATTTATATCTCTAATAAGGGAAACAAATTTCTTTGAGATTTACGATTTTATATATAATTCCCCAAAACACGGATTTTAACTTCTAAACGTAATTAGCATTTAAAATCGATATTTCAAGAAGGTAGTTCATTTTTTTCCCCACTACCCACTTTGCTATCTTTTCTTAGTAGTATACTTTTTAAAGTAGTAGACTTTTCTAATCGCCCACCAGATTACAGTGACTTAATTTATCGCAATTATAAAGTAAGAATCGTGAAGGCCATTCAATAAAAATTCCAAAAAATTTTTAGTTGTTTTTTTTATACCGATACATTTCAAAATCTTGAAGATGTGATTGTGATTTGAATTTAAGGGTGACTTAAACTTAAGAAATGATGTGATTTAAATTTGAAGAAATTATATGTAGAAATTATAAAAAGTTTATTGAAATTACAGGTGGATCTCGGTCATTCAGAATAATTTAAAACTGACAATCAAAGTATTCGGATTTTGTTTTAACGATGAACTTTTGAAATATTACATTTAAAAAATAAGCAAATAAACACACACAAAAATGAATAAACAAATAAATAAAAATAGTATAACAGCGAAAAAGTAAATAAAATTGCAACTACATGCACTGTCAAAAAAATTAGTTTATCTAAACACCAAAAATGAGGGTAAAAATTTTACAGCAATTTTTTTACGACTATATAAAGAAATTGCAGGCGATTTCAGAAAGGCGCCAAATTTGGTGTCTTTGGAA